GGTGATGGGGTAAGCAATAGCATCGTTCAGTTGAAACTCTTTGAGGGATGCCTGGTGTTAAAAATTGTGTTCTCTTGAAAATTTCTTTTTCTCTTTTTCTTTAAGGTGAAGCCAGACTGCAGAAGTCTGCTGGTGGGCAAGCAGGCATAGAGACAGGAGCTCCTACCCAGCAGTGGTGGCTCAGTAGTAAAACAGTGCAGCTGGACAGGGAGCACCTGTGAGCTCAGGTCCAGCAGGACTGGCACTGTGACTAGGTTGTCCCCTTTGGCACCCATTTTGGTGGAAATTGTTGCTGTGCTGGGTGTGTTTACTGCTCCTTTCTAACAGAGTGCAGGCCACAGTGTTTGCCTCCTGTACCTCCTGTGTGGCTTTGCAGTGTAGACGGTCCCTAAGGGATGCAAATCGTGGGAAGGAAGGAGAGTGTTTGCAGGAAGGTGGAGTTGGGCTGATCCTTCAAGGATTTCTGTGTTGTCCTTTTAGCATGTGGAAACGATTGCTTGTGGTAACTTCCTGAAAACCACAGGAGCTCAGGCAAGTAGGAAACTAGCTCTCTGAGATCTGAGACCAGCTGGTCATACATTTTGTTTCCTGAAAAGACAAACAAGGCAGAGGTTGTTTAGACCAGCCTTTCCAAACGGATTATCTGCACCTCAGTAGTAAGGCAGAGGTGGCATGGTTTTGTCATGCAAGTGTGAGCTTTCCCCTCCTGCTGCTTGATAGGATTGTGCCTGAGGGAAGCATGGGCTCTTAGATGTGCCCTTTGGCTTCCAGGTGGGATTGGGCTGCAGCAAGGCCCCTCTTCCTGGGAAGACCTGGCTGCCATGAATACCTGTCAGTACCTCAAGTCCTGGAATTCAGGACTCTGATGGTCTGTCTCTACGAGGTGTGGGAACTGTCTCATAAGTGATCTGCTTAGGCACTAAAATTTGTGTGTTTGTGTAACTCCAAGCAGTCAAATTTAAGTTTGAGCCTGTAAAACGGGTGAATATCAGGTTTTGCAAAATGTCAGCTGCACGGCTGGTTCTGGTTTTGGTGACTAAGAGTGTGTATTGAGCCTCCAAATTTGAAATAAAGTTGACCTTAAAGGAATGGAGATGGGGTGGTTGCAGGTAACATAATGGCAATGCAAAGTGAGCTGCAGAAGCATATTCCTTGTGGAATGATTCACTAACACTTGCAAATCACATAGAGAACCTTGACTGAAAGTGCCAAATACTATTAATAGAAGCCTGGAGATGAAGTAACAAATGTGGATAGCTGGCCTCCTCTTGGCACCTCTAATTTAGGCACACAAAATGACAGGTTTGATCTTGCAGTTGTTTCCAGGCATGGACAAGGGTGGTGAGGTGGCCCATTGATTGCCTGTGAAGACCTGAGCAAGAAGTGACATGTCTGACGACTGTGGGAAGCAAGTTGGGCCAGCATGGGAGCAATTTGTAATGAACAGAGTGTCTCAGATCTGCAATGGGTGCTCACCAGATCCTCTGGTTAGCTCAGATCAGACTTGTAAAGGGGTGTCAGGGAATTTATTTCTGATTGGTTTGTGCTGAAGTCGCACTTAGGAGACTTGTATGAACGGCAGCGGTTATGGTTGTGTAGGACTTTGAAGCTGTGCTTGCCACATGAGGAAGTGGGTTCTTACCTTCTTGTAAACTGTAATTTCATAAGTGGGATAATGGCAGACCTGAATGGACCAATTTGCCTTTTGCTGACAAGTCTTAATTCCAGATTATGAAGTTAAAGTTGGTGTACTCCTGCCCTAATTAACTATATTAATAATGTCTTTGTTTTAGCTGGCAAGTTGAGAGGAATCCAATTTCTACTGCTTGTTGCCTATTGTTTTTTCTCTCTGAAATGTCTTTCATTCTTCTGTCAAGTTTTGTGACATCTCTTGTCTCTATGTCACCTGGTCTGAAGGCTGGTCATGGGGATAAAGTTGTGGTGTATGGTGGGCAGAGTGGTGGGAATGAAGCTCACAAGTGCCACAAGCCCAAACTTTAAATTTCCTTTTACTCCTTTTTGAAGCAAGTTGTTTTATACAAATACTCAACATTATCATGCAGAGGTGTTGTAAGAGCATCCATTGGATAGTGGGGTTGCCTTTCAGATTATTTACATTAGGAAGGTTCTAAAGTTAAGACTTAGGAGCAAAAGAGGGGGGTCTTTTTCAGAAAGTTAGTTACAAGGACACAGGTATCTGTTTCTCTGGCACTAGGTCTGCCTTGATAGTTGTCTTTTTCTAATAGAATGAGTGATCAGTTGAAGGCCAGAAGATAATGCTCACTGGCAGTAGAGTAGTTGGACCTGAAGACTGAGCTACTTCTTTTCTGTCAAGCTCTGTGCTGACCATAGGAGAAGGGTGGACTTTCCACCTCCTGGCATTGCCACAGGTAGTCTAATGGCAGAGCAGTGTGGGGCTTCCACAGACCCTGGAGGGAGACAGGAAGCTGGAACAAGTGTGACATTTTGCCTTTGGTGGGGTGAGAGTGCTAAGATGAGTGACTTAGTACTCTTGATCAGTATCTTTCCTAGAAGACTAGGAGGGGGCAGATTTTTCCACACTACCGAGTACAGGGTGGGTTCTGGAGGTACAGTTGAATTGGTGCTCTTGCTAGTGAAAGGGGACAGTTTTCTTTTCTCTGGCTCTGAGTGAGCTCCCTGTGGGTCTCCCAGGTTAGCAAACAGAAAACAAAAACTACAGCAAGATTTTCTGCTGCTTTGGCCTGCTGGGCAGGCAGTTGCCATGTCAGTGCTGGCTCAAGGGAAACTGTGGGGAGTGTCACTGGGATGAGGGAGGGAGGAAGGAACTGTTCCCTCCAGGGCAGGCAGCTGTAAAATCAGCTTAGTTCTGGCGTAAGACTGCATGCTGAGAGGCTCGATGTACATCCTCTCAGAGCAAAAATGTAACTTGGTGAAAGTAGGTTGCTGAATAGCTGGATAGCCAAGGTCAGGCAGTGCCTTTTAAGATAGCTGCAATTACAGCTAGCCTGAGCTAAACCGTGTGCTGAGCAGGGCTAAACTGGTGTTTGCTGATACTATCAAGCAATTTGTGCCTTATCTAGATTGGAGCACTCAAATGGCACATGTCTCTTCCACTTCCTCCTTCACTGTCAAGAATGTGGTTTCTATAAGAATTTTATACCCCTCTTAGTTTGATGGATTGGAAACTGCTGATAGGAGCTGGAACCTCAGCAGTAGAAACACTGGGTTCTTTATGTGCGTTTGTGAGGCTGCTTTAAAAATAAATGTGTTCTGAAGCATTGTTAATTAATCTGGAAGAGTCGATATCCTCCTAGCCTCCCTCATTCCCCTCCCTCCAACGTTTTTGTCCTAACTTTAAGTTGAAACAAAATTATTTCCTTTCTTTACTGATGGATTTGTAAATGCATTTTTAATTGTATGTTCTTATGCTTAACAAAAATCCAGGGGAATTTTGTAAAAGCCATGTTTCCAGAGATACTGATTTTGCAAGGCAACGGGACAATTTGGTGTTCTCTCATACTGTCTCAAAGTATCTGGGGTATATTATTACTAAAAGGGGAAAAAAGACCAAGCTGTTCCAGAGACTGGGATGTGAAATCTTGCACTTTCCATGTCACTGCTTTGAAGGCAGGCCGAATTTGAACTAGCTTGAAGCATGAATGGCTCAGTTTAAGCAGTGGCACCTCAGCCCTGCTTTACCTGTTGAAGCAAGGCGATTCTCTAGGTAGAGTTACTTCTGTCACCTTCTCTAGTGACCTTGGCCATGAGCTCAATGAGACCTTATGTCTTCACCCCACAGCCAAACTCCTCAGGACTGGTAAGCTATGTGGCCAGGATGGCGTGATGAACCTGCCCTGCCGTTGCCTTTTGTGCAACATGTTAGTATAAATACAAGATGTTCATCTTCAGGGCAGCTATTAAATATAGTAGTAATTTTTACAATAGTAACTTCTTATGCCTTGCCTACGCCCTTAAGGCCTTAACCAAATATAACTTAGATGATGATAATTAAAAACAGGAGGCTGTGACCCAGTAAAATCCATGAGTTTGGCAGAGACAGCAATGCTGAGGAGGAATGTATGCATCAAATATATAATAAATAGAATCAAGCTGTGCAAATGTAAAGGAAAGAGAATAATTTTGTATCAGTCAAAACAACCCCATGGCTGAAAACTGGTTTGTGCTCAGAGATTGTGTCCTTTCATGCCACAAAACAGATTTTATGCTGTGTAATCCTACTGGAAACTTCTGCTTTGGTGTAATTGCTACATTCTCATGCTTTCTTTGCTCCCCAAAATATTGTGTCTCCATCTGTCCCCCTGCCTTCCCCTTTTGTTTTTGCCTTTCTCACAGAGGCCTGACTGTGAATCTCTGTATCTTCTAAGTAGCTCTCCCCAGTTGTGTTTTTCCTAAAAATAGTTGAGATCTTTGCTCGGAGGGAAAGCATGCATTTTGGATTACTATCTCTTGCATGGGTCATTGGTATTTGGGCTTGTGAAGCTATTCACATAAGCTCCTCTGCCTCTTGAGATTCCTGGGGTGGGGTGTCCTGGTGCACCGGATGTGATTTCCAGTTCAAGCACTGTGGGGAAAAAACAACTATTCAGTTTCAAGAAATATGGGGCTGGGATGAGACCAAACCACCTACCACTGGATGGAGGAGATAAGGAGTACAGGTCAACCCAGAAAAAAATTTTTGGGAAAGAGCTCTGGAGAAAGTGATATGCTGCTCTTGCTGGGAGGATGGGAATTGATGAGCAGTGATTGTGCATCCCAGCTTTTTGCCATGTATTTACAATGCTCTGGCACACATTCAGTGGATTGATAGTGGATTGATAACTCCTTTGTGCCCATGTTGAAAACTGTGTAGAGTTGCTTCTGCACCTGGGTGCTTGTCAGTGAATTTTTAGGTGTTCTTCTCAGTGCCACTGTGAACCAGACCATCAGCACCTGTGTATGGATCCATTTCAACTTCACTTACATTTCATAATACTTGTTTTCTTTTTTATATGCTCTAGGTGACTTTGGAGAAGGTGTTGGGGATAACTGTGTCTGGAGGCAGAGGATTAGCCTGCGACCCCAGAACTGGCCTCGTTGCTTATCCAGCAGGGTGAGTCAATAACCATGTTCTTCAAAGCTAAGACAAACCAAGGCTGTTGTATCAACATAAAGATTCAGGCTGTTTCCCCTATGGTCTTCAATGGGGAGGCTATTTACTGTTCTTTAGTCTTCTAACACTGGGAAATAACAAGAGTCATCACTGTAATTGGCAAGGGAGAGGGATTGCATTTTACCTGTCAAGTTTTAATGGGATCCCTTTAGAGGGAACCCCTCTCCTTCTTCTTGCTTTAAGTTAAATACATTGAGTTAAATACATTGTGGACTTTTAAACTATGCTCTGTAGTATGGTGAGCTTACACATAACTCACTATGATTCTCAAGCCAGTGAGTACCTAATGGAGCTGATGGTGCTTTCAGTGAATTGACAAAAGCCTTCTTGTGTATACCCTGCAATTTATGGCTTACCATGTTGCTCATCCAGATGCTGAGAAAGATTTCAGGCTGACAGCCTCATGTGTGCGGGTTCTCTGCAGTGCAACACGTCTGTTGAGCATGGTCTCAGTCCAGATAGAGAGATCCAAAAGGAGACTTTGATGGACAGCAAAAGAGCTAGTGAGAGGGAGACAGCTGAGGGCTGGAGTGGTGGTTTTGTGAGTTGCATATTTAGCAAAATCAGACATTTGGGACCAGATCCTGAACTTGCAGAATGCAGAGCTCACCCAATGGCCATGTGTCTGTGAAGGAGCAGAGCATGTCAGAGTTGCTGGTCTGTGGTATGGGACTTATCTGAAAGAATGTAGCCCCTGAAAATTTTTAAAGGGATTGTGAGGTGTTTGGTTTTTTTCTTTTGTTTTTATGTTGTGTAAAAAAGGAATTTAATGTGTCCTAATTTCTGTCCATTGCCTTTTTTATGTCAGTGGGCACTCTTTTAAACTCAGACAATTTGAGATTCAGATATGTGCTTCACAGCATCCTTGATACTTGAACTCTTTGGAGCCAGGCAAATACATTCCAGGGTGTTCTTCCTCTTCTTTTGACACTTTCCTCCATCTTTTTTGACACTGAATATGTTCATGCTTGAAGAGGGCAAGGAGAGAGAGAAGAAAACAAGTGCCGTAAACAGATGTTTTGAGCTCTTGCATAGCTAAAAATAGATTAGTTTTGCTAATAGTCATGTACTCTGATGAGCTTATGAATGTCTAACATTGATTTAATCAAGCATGAGATCACCTGGGGATTCTTTTGAGTAATTAAAAGGTTATGTGTTTCCTTTGGGCTTTAGAGGGCAATTCCTGTTCTTACTTGTTGGTGGTAGCATGTCATGGCCTGGGCAGGAAAGCTATCGAATATACCAGCTGTGCGTTGTAACAGTTTAGTGGCTTATATGACGTGCTGCTTTTGCTAGCCTGTTTTGTGATGTTGTTGTGATTTTTTGCAGTCAAGGCAATCTCTAACAAAATTCACATGAGTTAAGGAGTCAAAACATGAGAGACTACAGATACAGAGCTTGATAAGTTGATGCAAGTTCCGCTTGTTGGTGGTTTTTGTTTTTTTCCATATTCTGATTTCCAGTGTATTTCTCTTTATTTTTAATGATCGTGGCATTTCTGGTAGGTTTGTTTTATGTTGTTTATTTTGGTTTCTATTTGTTTGAATTTACTGGACACCCAAGCTTCTTACCTGAGGCTAATGTAGCAGACTGGGTAGGGCTCATGCACAGTCGGTTCATGACTTGTTCATGTAACTTGGTCATTTTCAACTGTGCTCCAAGTATTCCAGTGATTCCCTCAGCCCTCTGCTCATCTACTGAGGTTTTGGAATCCTGACATGCAGGTGCTTTACTCCTTCAGTCTGTCCTACCCCTAAAAGCTGAATTTATGTAATGGCTCTGTATTTTCCTAAGAATGCTTTCAACATACCTAGATGAATTTGTTTGAGATCAACACAGTTGCCCCAGGGAACCTGACTTCATCCATAGCAGGCATACAAATGCATGTGTGAATGTGAACTTGTGCGTGAGAACTTTTGACATTCTTAGAGCAGAATCTTAACTATGGTCTCTGCTTTGCCTAAAGTATTTATTTATTTTTTTTTTTTTTTTAAAGATTGCTTTTCTGGATTTTTTCTTTCCTGGAGTTTCTCAGTCTCCTGAGAAGTTTCTGAATTTCTTGAAAGAAACAGTTCGCAATGTAACTCAAGCTCCTTCCAATTCCACAGTGGTGCCAAAGAGCTGAGTTGCATTATTACTTTCTTTCCTTCTCATTGGCTTTTGAACCTTTTCTACTTTGACTTCTTTGACCCTACTGAGGCTTTCCCTCCAGCAGCGTGTGACAGCAGCTTTGCTGACTCTGGTATTGTTTTGGTGGGATACTTGTGTCATAGGAGGTTTTTTCTTCATGTCTGCCTTAAAGGCTAAAGGCACCAACTGCTGCAGATACTCTGGCCACCACTTTCATATAAGGCTTGAAAGATAAGACAACATAGGATAGAAAATGACATCCTCTCTGAAAGTCTTACAACTGTGGCCTACACTTGCCTGTTCCTATGTTGGCAAGTGAAATAAACCCAAAGTGGCTTAATTTGATCTCTGCTAGGGTCATGAAGTGAGTAACAAAGTCAGTCTTGTGGCAGGACTGATGCTGTGTCCTCCTTTCAGGCTTTTTTTCCCCCTTTGCTTTTTCCCTGCCCTTCTCTCATTTTGGTTTGTAATCTCTCTCTCTCTCTCTCTCTCTCTCTCCCTCTCTTTAAACTTCCCAATAGCTAGTTGAGATTCTGTTTCCTAGAAACAAGAAAGGAAACAAAACTAAGAAAATCCTCTGTGGATGACTAGGAAAGGATTAAAAAAGGAATAAAAAAAGGGGGGCGGGGAGGAGATGTTTGTCTATGCATTTAAGTTCTAGACCTAGCTCAGATAGCTTGAGTCAGTTTATCTGTTTTGGGGTTGTGTTTACTGTTGTTTTTTAAGCCTTGTAGGTTAGTATGACTGATTTATTTTGCTTCTCTTTTTTCTTCTTTCCTTTGTGCTCAGTTGGTCATGATAGCTTGTTGGGAACCATGTTTTCATGTGAGGCACTTGCCTGCTTGCGGAAGCAGCCTGTGCTTTTTCTTCTGTAAGAGCAGGAAAGTAGACCTTTGTGCTGTTCAGTGTGCAATGTCTTTTAAACACTATTCTGCTATGTACTGGCTAGCTTAAGTGTCTCTCTAGCTCCTCTTGTCAATTCCCAGCCACTCTAATTGGAGTCAGGGATTCTTCCCATTAGTGTTCATTGCTGGGAAATCAGTATTTGCTACATAGCACATGTAATGAGTTGATAAGTCTCAGCTTGCATGTTCTTCCCTGCCCTTCAGCTCTCTAGTGTAGCTCTTTACATACATAAATTCCTGCTAAAGACAGACATGGGCTTAATATAGGGAATCCTCTCTGAGATACAGTGAAATACATTTTTTTGGATTTCTCTCATAAATTACTGTAGTCAGCACGGACACAGCTCCCTGCCTGGCTCTCTGCATGCATGGTACATTTGATGAGCAAATGATCTGGATGCCCCCATTTCAGAATGAATCACCTTTCCTTGTACATAGGAAGGGAGGTACAATAAAAATGGAGCTGTATGATCCAAATTAAGAGGAAGAAGTCAAGTGTTTTCTCCTGCTGCTTTTTGCCACAAGATCTTGTTGAAGAGCTAGACTTGTTCTTGCTTCAGCTTTATTACCTTGAGGTTTTTTTGGGGTAGGACAACTAATATTCAGAAGTGAGTAATGGTATGATGTGTTCAAAATCAGAAAACTGCACAGCTGTCTGGGTCAAATTTTGTTTTATTAATACTGCACCGTGTGTTGAATGTCAGTGCAGCACCTTCTTGTGTGGAGCAGAATCAAGGCACAGTCTCCTCATTTCACTGTCTCTGTCCTTGTTCATCCTTGGCTGGTTTGCGGTATGGAGTGGAAGCCTCTTAACTTCTGAGTCACCCCCCTCCTGGCTCCCTGTCCACATGTCCAGGGAGGTGTCAGGTCCTGCAGAGGCAGGGCAGTGACCACAGTCTGTGTCACAGTGAAGGGAGGAAGGGGAGGAGCACAAAGGGAAATGAGTGAATTCATGTTAATCCAGCCAGGAGTCTGCTCAGCATGTGTGGAGCTGTCTCGCACAATTTAGGGGTAAATCCCACTGGAAGTTGAAGGAGTCAGGATTTTTCTTTTCCAGAAGTGGTTGTTGGTTTGCTCCCAAATAACCTCTTTCCAATTGTGGTAGGCTGCAAGGCTAGGTGGCTTCCAGCCCATCCACATGTGGAGTCTTTTGGAAAGTTTAGTCATAATTTTCCATTACTATACAGATAGATTACTGTGCAACAAAATAATTCATCAGTTTGGAGCCATTTCCCTTTAAGCTGCATGTAACCCGCAATGGAAGAATAACATTTAGGATAAACATTGCATAACTTCACTAGGCATGATGTTGCCTTGCTCTTTCATTCCTCTTTGAAATGGAAGTATTTGGACAGTGGTGTACAGGAATTAATTTTGAGAGGCAGATCTAGCAGATGGCAGCTGGTGAGCGAGGCAAAATGCTGTTCTGAACTGGGCTCTTTTCAAGACTGATGACCATCGTGGCCAGATTAGAATTGGTGGCTACATGGACAATGAAATCCTAATTTGTAAGATAAGTATTCTTGCCTTATTATCTGAATAGATACAGGGACACTGAAATACTTGAACTGCTGTGTTACCAGTAGATAAATCTGCTGCTGCTAGTTTCTTTGAGTTTACGTTACCCAAATTTGTGAAGGAGAATTTCTGCTCTGTCTTCGTATGTCCTTTTATAAAGGAGAATCCTGAGTTGCTGTAAAGTCTGTATAAACCTACACTAAAATGAAGAGAAGTTACCATCTGTGGTTCAAAGCAAATTTCAACATCGTTGGCCATGCCAGAGGCAGCTTGCTTTGTCCTCCTTAGAATGGAACAGTTGCCTCTCTCCCATTAGTTAGACCTCTTTCCCCTCCTCATTTCCCAGTAATCTGGACTATTGTTACTGCACTTCTGTGAAGCTACTGT